GGAAAGGTATCAACTACAATGGCATATTTGAGGCATCAGTGATTCCTCGGTTGATCGCTGTATTCTTCGGCTGTACATAACTTGCGTATAACTGTATGGTTGACAAATTTTTAAATTCATCACGCAATCAGAATATCATTTTACTTTCAATTGTTCTGCATTTAACTTAACAAATTTAACAATTTCAATATGTTCCGCATACATTTCAATCGCATATAAATGAGAAACAGGTGGATGATTTCACACAATTCGCTGCAACAAAAATTACAGTCACTTTAAATTGAAAATATCACAACAACAATTCAACAATATATTCATTTCTCAAAACATCCACATAAAAGAAATTCTTGAACCTCCCATAAATTGTCGAAAATTTTCTAAATAATCTGAGGAGCTTCCTTTCATTAGGTAACATGTACTCAAATTGCACATGAAATAGCAATTAGAGTCTCGATTCCAACTCTAGGATTCATCTCATCTCAAGCCAAAGGCCGTACTTTTTTGGTTTGATAGCTTTGACAGTTTTTCCTCCTACAGTTAGTAGATGATTAAGAAAAGTTAACTCATTAGTTCTTCATGAAAATTAATTCACTCGAAACAAATGGCATAAAAATGTCAAAATTGGTAATGGTATAATTCAGTGGAATCTTGTAAAGAACTGACTGTACGCCCGGAACCCACTGCAATTCTCGCGGAATTATGCAAACATCAAAACAATACCATCCATTCAATGCAATATCAACAATAACAAATTCACCTATTAATAACTCCAAACCCATCAAGCACATTATACTCTCTCAATTCCATATTTTCACATAAATCTTCCTATTCAAATAAATGCTTTCAGTCAGCATCACTTTCTGGTTCAGTTTTAATTTCGGACGTGTCCATTAACTCGTTGTAATCACTGTCATATGAGTACTGCTTTTTCCCATCATCATCTGATAACCAAATATCATTTTTCGATTCATATTCTTCACCTTCATCCTAAAATCAAAATCAATAGAAGCGATCGATGAGATGAAACCAAACTAAAGCATGGCTGAAAGGCAAATGAACCAAAAACAGAATTATTTTTCATTCACATTCGATTCAGTAATAACATCCTGATCCCCTACTCTTAGAAAAANCAATCTTGGAATAAAGCATAGAAATTGACATTGATAACCACCTATCTTACTGCTCAAATACTCACCTTGACATTCGATTGTCCTTGCTCAAGTTTCCTTTTGAAACTATCGCCTCTGAGTTCCTCAGTCGCAATTCTTTTAGCACCGTTACGAAGGCTTTTCCCTGCTATCTTCTTATCGAGTTCTCTTTGACGCTCGGCTATTGCATTGAATAACTGTACAACGCCCCTAAAATTATAGCAACTTATTTGCATAGTTGAGAAATTTTACTGAAGCTGATAATATTTTACTAAAACTCAAATCACTATAGTGTTGTTACTTCCGCCACATTCAACAGCCCTCCAAAATGGAATCTGTTATCTTTTCAATAAGAAACAATCACGTAACAAATTATTATACACTTAATTATTTACAGATGAATAGCTAAACCAAGTAAAATAATGGAAAAAGAAAGGTGAACCACGCTGTAGAAACTAGTCACCTCGTTGCTGTGTGAACAAGAGCACGCTCCTTTTCTCGATCGTTCACAATATCCGGCTTCACCATACACATACGATCCAGATCCCGTTTCGCCATCACTTTTACTGTTTGTTCACGTTTCGTTAAGCGTTTTTTCCTCTGAAGTAAGCAATATTCTTTGCGACAATTATACAAAATAAAGAACAATACGTGAAAGATTGCAATTTACGGTTGTGATGACTGTTTTTGGTTCATTCGATTGAAAGCTTATTTCATACAGATGATGCACAGAGGAAATGAATAATGAAAATGGAAAAAACACTCACTGCTTTCATTTTCGCAGCTCTCCGCTCTCTCTCTTGCTTCCTCTCATCCGGAAATTCGACTGTATCTCCCTGCTTTATCTCAGTTTTCGGTTTTGTTGGCTGCGGACCTTCTGAAAAATTAATTGATGATATTTTAAAATAATAAAAACTTCAATTTAAAACATTCTTAAATAGCAGATGGTGGATATAAAAGTACACCACAAGGTAAAATACCCACTGCGGTTTATTGAAAAACAGTAGGGCAATTATTCAACGAAGAAACTGCTCACCTTGACTGCTTGATGCCTCTGAACCCTCGGATAAGCTGTCATCGTCAGAGCTTGAACTCGACCCTTCCTTGACCACTAATCGATCTCTACTTTTTATCATTCCTGAAACTCATTTCATCAGTTTTTTCAGATATTTGATATGTAAGGAACCTTATAGCCATCTAATTCATTAACAATATCTATGCCAAACTCTGCCAAAAAACACAAAAGGAATACCCCAAAACCTCTGAACGTTATTCAGTAAGAATACCCCAAACTAAAACCCTCTGCAAAAAAAAAACAAA